AGCCTGCCATAATGTGATAGAACACAGACTGGTCATCTTCATATCCCAATTGCATAGAACTATGCTCTTGATGTTGATCACTGGATTGCCTAGTCCAGATCGATTATTTGCAGACCACCACCATATAACTGAAATATTGCCGAGTGCAGCATTGAGAAAGAAAAAAGAAAAAAAAAGAAGCTTTGTATAATCTGATTGGGGTGTGCATGTTAAGCTTGTGGTATGGCATCTTAGTGGGCCAACACTATTAACCAGCTCTAGTAAGGACTACTGGAAGCAACTACACAAAGTGAGTGCATGTTGCTATGAAAGTTCAATCATGCAAGGTTGATATTTTCCCACTTGAATATTTTGCCGAAAAGAGAGAAAACCCTATCGACAGTTGCCATATCAGTAAAGCCAGGTAGGGTATGGCCCTAGAGTTTTTAAGTTGATTTTTTATTCAAGAATGTTTTTAACATGGGTGCAGACCTTCCAAATCTTGTGGTTAGAGTTAAAACCGTTGATTTTCATGCTTTATTTCCAACTGAATGGGCAAACTTTATATTTTCATGAATAAATGTTACCATGGTTACTTGAATACATTTGCCTACCTGTCAGCTGCAGCATCAATGGATTTACACTATGGAAATGACAACCTGTGTTCTACTTTCAACCAGGAAGTAAAGGAAATGTTATGTGTAGATTTGTCATTTGATTGGCTATGATCATTGTTCATTCAGCTATACAATGCTGACAGCTGCAGGGAAATGTTATATCGCTATTTTGATGGCACGTTGCTGAAAAAAGGCCCACAGTTGTTTAGCTGTATGTACATCTGTATTGATTGTTAGAGATCATAAAGTCAGGCCAGCGTTATAATGGTGGATGTATTTTGTATGTAGATAAGAAAACAGTTCGATGACCTGTGCATCCAGTGAACATCTGTTATCAAACCTATCAAATTTGAAGATTGAAATAATTGTTTTCTCCTTGTGGTTAAAATGTATTCACTTAATTTGAAAACAAAATGCAGAAAATATAAATTCCAGTAATTATGAAAATGGTTCTCAATTTTCACTGTCACATCTACTGAATGTACCATGTCTATGGTGTGTGTCAGACGTGTTCTGTCACATTCACTGAATGTACCATGTCTATGGTGTGTGTCAGACGTGTTCTGTCACATTCACTGAATGTACCATGTCTATGGTGTGTGTCAGACGTGTTCTGTTTTATTCACTGAATATACCTTGTCTATGGTGTGTGTCAGACGTGTTCTGTCACATTCACTGAATGTACCATGTCTATGGTGTGTGTCAGATGTGCTCTGTCACATTCACTGAATGTACCATGTCTATGGTGTGTGTCAGACGTGTTCTGTCACATTCACTGAATGTACCATGTCTATGGTGTGTTCTGTCATCAGAATGTGTTCTGTCATATTCACTGAATGTACCATGTCTATGGTGTGTGTCAGACGTGTTCTGTCACATTCACTGAATGTACCATGTCTATGGTGTGTGTCAGACGTGTTCTGTCATATCCACTGAATGTACCATGTCTATGGTGTGTGTCAGACGTGTTCTGTCATATCCACTGAATGTACCATGTCTATGGTGTGTGTCAGACGTGTTCTACCACAGTTCTGATGTACAATGTGGGTAAGCTAGGTGTGTTCTGTTACATCTACTGAATGTACAGCGACTATGCTTGTCGTAAGAGGCGACTAACAGGATCGGGTGGTCAGGCCCGCTGACTTGGTTGACACATGTCATCGGTTCCCAATATCACAGTTTGATGCTCATGCTGTTGATCACTGGATTGTCTGGTCCAGACTGGAATATTTACAGACCGCCGCCATATAGCTGGAATATTGCTGAGTGCGGCGTAAAACTAAACTCACTCATTCACTACTGAATGTACCATGTGTATGCTGTAGTGGTGGGAATTGTTTAAAATCTCATAATTGATGATTGGTTCATTACAACTGATAAATCAGTGAAAATAATTGGTTAGTGTCATTTATGAAATTTTCCTGTTTGCACAAAACATGAAGAAAAAAACATGTATTTCTTTGGGGTTTTTTTTCCGAAATTGCACATCTTTAAAGGACGACTAGTATGTTAGGAACTCTTGGGGTCTTTAAATTCAATCATGACTTGGACCGAGCTTGTAGTGCTCATGAAATGTAACAGACAAAAACCAACCTTGTGAAAAATATTGTTAATGCAAAAAGTGTTCCAGAATTGTTTGTGTTTTGATTATGAGAAAACATGATCGATTGCTTGGTCGTTTAGTCACTGCGACCAATCTTCGGTTATTTCAATTAATCGGACCACCACTAGTATGCTGTGTTATGTCATGCACTTCTATAACAAATATCCAACATGAGGACATACCAGGAGGATATATGTCAATTTTCCCTCCTCCCATGTTATTTTGTCAATGCATTAAAATCTGATGGCCCCATAACATATTCCCGGGCTCTTAATCCATTAACAGCTTGTCCTGTACTCTTTTCTGAAACTGACCATAATATGTGTAGCTTGAGAAGCCAGGCTCTCACATTTGCCATGCTTGCAGGTCACATGATCCCCTGAAGGTCATGTGACCACACTAGCTAGCATCAATTGCATGCTGTAGTGAAGATGAACCAACTGCAATGACAGGTAGCTGTGTCCAGCTGGGCTGGGAGAAATCAATGGATTAATCAGTTGTCCTAGTCCTGATGAAGGAAGTCTCGGTGGTTGTGACCAGCTGTCTGCTCATTGAAAGGGATTCTGTTGGTTTCATCAGACAATTATACAACACCTTCATAAGCTGCATCAGTGCTTCGTTGTTCATGCATTTAGAGATCACTCCATGAGAGACATGGTCTCTTGCACCTGTGAGAGCACAGATCTACATATGTGCTTTGTTCTCACCAGAGCTCGTCTGCTATAGAGCTTAGATCTTACAAGAGTCAGGTCTATGAGCATTTAGTTTTCACAAAAGTACTGTTTAAAGAAGAGCCTTGTCTATATAAAAGTTTAGTTCTCACAAGAGCCTTGTCTATATAAAAGCTTAGTGCCTTGTCTACACACCCACACTTGCAAGATTATTTAAGAGCTAAGTTACTTTTAGGGAACATTTGAAAGTTGTTAAATGATTCATTTAACATATGAACCCGACACTGTTGTGTTCAACTGTTAGTCTACCATGCGAACCAGATGGTGTTGAATGTGTTCAACTGTTAGTCTACCATGTGAGGAAGATGGTGTTGAATGTGTTCAACTGTTTGTCTACCATGTGAGGAAGATGGTGTTGAATGTGTTCAACTGTTAGTCTACCATGTGAACATGGTGTTGAATGTGTTCAACTGTTAGTCTGCCATGTGAACCAGATGCTGTTGAATGTGTTCAACTGTTACTCTGCCATGTGAACCAGATGGTGTTGAATGTGTTCAACTGTTAGTCTACCATGTAAACCAGATGCTGTTGAATGTGTTCAACTGTTAGTCTACCATGTGAACCAGGTGGTGTTGAATGTGTTCAACTTTTAGTCTACCATGCGAACCAGATGGTGTTGAATGTGTTCAACTGTTAGTCTACCATGTGAACCAGGTGGTGTTGAATGTGTTCAACTTTTAGTCTACCATGCGAACCAGATGGTGTTGAATGTGTTCAACTGTTAGTCTACCATGTGAACCAGGTGGTGTTGAATGTGTTCAACTTTTAGTCTACCATGCGAACCAGATGGTGTTGAATGTGTTCAACTGTTAGTCTACCATGTGAACCAGGTGGTGTTGAATGTGTTCAACTGTTAGTCTACCATGCGAACCAGATGGTGTTGAATGTGTTCAACTGTTAGTCTACCATGTGAACCAGATGGTGTTGAATGTGTTCAACTGTTAGTCTACCATGCGAACCAGATGGTGTTGAATGTGTTCAACTGTTAGTCTACCATGCGAACCAGATGGTGTTGAATGTGTTCAACTGTTAGTCCTCCAGAATGTTAGGATGTAGTAGGTTTGATATCACTGTCAATGATTTCAGATATGACGCACATGACTACAAGCAGAATTATCTTTAAGATGAACGATATCAGCTATTTTTGCAACATTCTTGCAGGCTAAAATAATTATTACATGCCTGAAGGAAAATACACCAATGCATGTCTCCACAAATAGTTTCTCGCCACTGAATCGTGTTCTCGGGGTTTGCTGCAGAGGTATTTTAAAATTCCTGATGTATGTCTTTTCTTGGATGTTGTACTAATGAGAGATAAGTTCCTTAAAATGATTAAGTTAAAAATAGTCATGAAATAAGCTTCGATCCTTGTTTTCCCACCCTGCTGCTCACAATTCTCTTCTCGAGAGTTTAGAATCACAAACATAGGCAAGGTGTATTTTGTCTAGTTTGCAGTTTATGATTGTGTTAGAGAAGCAAAAAATGTGTTTTAATCCAAATAATAATTTCAAAGCATAACTTCAAAAGCTTACCGTCTGTTTGTAATTTTAATTTTAATTTTAGTAATGAAATCTCATATGGTATATAGATTTGGATTCTCGGAATAGAAAAAGTTGAGGAAAGGTTCAGGCATAGACTATAGGTAATTAAATTTGTGAAGATAGAAGTACAAGTTTATATGAAGTTGAAAAAATGAAACAATGTAGTTTTTATTCCAACATGAACATATTTGAATCCAACTTAAAGTTCATTAATGGTGAATGTAAATCAGAATCCCTCTAAGACAGTAAGATGTCTTTCCTTTTGTAGTGGACATCTGGCCTGGCCTTAGTCCAATGCTGTGTCATACCAAACGATTTTTGAAAGATGGTACTTTTTGTTGCCTTGCCTAGTGCTTAGCATTAAGGTGATGGCACAAAGACGGGTCACCTGTGTCACCTGTGTGCTTGCATATCTTGATATATGTGTCGTAATCACAGATGCAAGGTTCAGTGACGCTCATGCTACCAACACCTGATTTTACAGGCGTGGATTGTGAAGTGTGTAATGATTGTCTTGTTCTGTTTGCAGGTTGTATTGGATTGTGTATTGAAGAAGGACATTCAATACACAAAGGCAAATCCCAAATTTCATCATTGGAAGACTGATGAACAAAGGTTTGGTTTAACGTTTGAGAGGTATGATGATGCCAAAAAGTTTGACCGTGGTATCAAGAGGGCGGTTGCAGAGCTCACGGAAGGTAGGATCTATTGTGACAAACTTGTGTTAGTTTCATGTGGGAGGGGTTTTGTTCACATCCTTGATCACATTCTACCTTGCTCAAACTGTTGATTATCACAAAAAGGTTGATTATTGAGAAATGGTCATTGTTGTTTCATGAAAAATACATTACAGTGTGACTGTATGTCACCCTGCCCTTACTGGATTTCATTCTCAATAGGGAGGTTTGGATAACCCAGTTTTGGAAGTGTTTGCGTTTCATGCCAGAAGTCTGTGTTCTCTTCCTCATATGGTTATATGTACAGCCCTTTTCTTGTGTCCCTGCTGTGATATTGTTGGAATAGTGGTAAGGAGGTATAAAACCATACACTCACTCATTGATCCCAAGCAACCAATGCACATCATAAGTTGAAATTTAGTGGTTGAGTGAATATGGTTTTATGCTGCATCTAGTAGTATTCCAGCACTATCGCGAAAATCAGCTTCACACATTGTACCCATGTTGAGAATCAAACCAGGATTTTCATTTTGACGAGCGAATTCTTTTACCACTATGCTACCCCACTGCCTGGCAGCTGAAAGGATCTCGTAGAAAGGCATGATGACTTGTTTGATTGAATGTTATGCCATTATGTCATGCGACTCAGTTTTTAAAAAACAGTTGTTATCTAACTTGAATATTGCTGTGTGGCATTGAACAATGAGCAGCAGACGTAATGAATGAATAAACAGAGTTACATCCTCAGAGGCATCTATGTTCTATGGTTGTAGGTTTGGGCTTAGATTTGCTCTGATTATATTCCTTCACTTGTTATCATGATGCATACTAAAAGCTTTCACATTAGTCGTATGCATCTATGCTATCATGAAAAATCTGACAGCAATAGACTTCATTTCTTTGTATGTATTTCAGGCTCAACCGGCAGCATGGGAAATTCCATGACGGGAGAAGAGGAAGTATTTCAGGTACTGTATTGACCCGGTGTCGTCATGTTGATGTGGGTGTGTAGACAGTGTCAAATATTGGGGGTGTCAATGATGGGGGCAGATTGCCGTCATCAACAGTTTTTGTCAGCAGTTTTCTTTTCCGCTTTAGTTGGGTGATTCAGTCACTGACATTTAATTTGACATTCAGTTTTCACAGTTTGATTTTACTGTTGTCACAGTGTTCTTTCAGGCAAATCAACTTGCCATCTCTTTGTGAAGCTTTGATGATGTCCCTATTATGGATGACATGTTTTATAGTGTAGAAACTGGGAGCGTCCTCTACTGATGTATTTTAGAGCATAGACTGTGAAACTGGGAGTGTCCTCTACTGATGTGTTTTAAAGTGTAGACTGTGAAACGGGAGGGTCCTCTACTGATGTGTTTTAGAGTGTAGACTGTGAAACGGGAGTGTCCTCTACTGATGTGTTTTAAAGTGTAGACTGTGAAACGGGAGTGTCCTCTACTGATGTGTTTTAAAGTGTAGACTGTGAAACGGGAGTGTCCTCTACTGATGTGTTTTAAAGTGTAGACTGTGAAACTGGGAGTGTCCTCTACTGATAATGTGGACTGTGGAACTTAAATAGTGTCACCTGTTCTGATGACGTGTTTTATGTTGCAGATCGTGGAGCTGCCTCTCTCTGGGGGCAAGGACAGCTCGTCCCAGTCAGCATCAACAACGTCAACCACCACCTCAAGTCCAGCTCCTCGTTCCCCCGTTAGCAGTCCGATATCGGGGCTCCCCGATGCCTTCCCGTTCCCCCACCCTCATGCCAACCATCATCATCTCCATCTGGTCCACTACATGTCTGGTCCAAATCGGACCAATAAAAACGCGTCCTCACCGCCCAGTGATAAAAGTTCACATAAATCAGACAGTTTCGAGAGTTCTAGTGGGCAGGATGACGTTTGGATTCGTTCCGACGACCCTACGTCATTAAGCGGCAAGTCCGACACACTGTTGTTAGACACGGACCCAAATGTAGAAATGAGCAAAGAGGACTCCTATGTGACATTTTCTAAAAGCAAGCCAGGGGCACCTCATGAATACAGCTACCCTAACTTAGAACCAATGCCGAAACCACCTACAAAACGGGAGTCGACCACTAGCATGAAGACACAGCCTTTGATTATTCAGCATCCCCCTCTACCACTCAAAAAGAAGCACAAGACTCGCCACAAGCCTGGCGGGACATCAGGAAGGTTGCTGACCAACCGATCACGGTGCAAACACTGCCATGAGGTGTTCTCTCTGGACGATAACCAACGGGGCAGTTGTGAAGACGCCCCAGATGGTGTCGAAAAGTTTATTGAGTGCGTGACTTGTGTAGCGTGTTCCAAATGTTTGATATACCACTGTATGTCGGATGCTGATGGCGAATACAGACACCCTTGTGAGTGTGATCCTCGCGATGATTCCAACTGCAAAAAATGGACCGCACTGACAATTTTATCATTGTTTGTGCCCTGTTTATGGTGCTACTGGCCCTTGACTGCCTGTCATAGATGTGGCATCTACTGTCGTTGCTGCGGTGGCCGGCACAAGGCGGTATGACCACGCCCGCAAATTTATATGCACAGGATTATCTCCCCCTTGTTCGCCTTTTCATCATAACTTGTAGATATATCTGACACGCATGGGTTTCTAGATCTAGCTAACACATACAGTGAACGGATGGATATTCATGTGGTGCGTGCATACCCAGAGAACTGAGTTGGTGTGCAGGAAGGGATGACCAAACTGGAGGAGTTACTTGCCCTTACTTGCCATTTAGTCACATGAGAGGATTGGAATCAGCAATATGTCCTTGGGATCATGTCATTGTAGTTCCATTTACATTTGTATAGCAATACTAGTTTTCACCTTTCATCTTTGAACATACATGTACAATTCTTGATTTTAGGTTAGCAACCATTTCCAGAAACACACATGCAATCCATTTGGTTATGGTGAAAGATACCAGTGAACAGGAAGTCAGAGAAAGAAATGATGGACCCTGGGAAAGGGCACCTTGTTTCCAATGTGACTCGCTGGCAAGGCAAGGGGGGTAACTCTGCCATGACAACTTGTATAGTCATTCAAAAGGGAAAACATGATCCCTTGTACCTGTGTTAAAAATGGCAAGTTTTATACGTTACCAATCCTATAACAGCATGTTAGAAGTTTAAGCATAGTGGTATTTTTTTTATATTTTTTTTTAAAAGATGATAAAAGCATACCTTTGTACCACAGAAGCATATCATGTTGGCTGAGCTGGTTTCTAAGCAGGCAATCTTTTTACTGATTTTGATAATCTGTTAAGTTTGCCGATTGTGCCATCAGCTCATTAGCCCAAGTTTTCACCCAAATTTATATAGAGAAAGAATCAGAACTGTAGGCTTGGGCTACTGAGGTGGTGCTTTATGTAGCGAAACTAGGTGTATTTGTTATGTTGGTGGTAAGAAAGACAACACGATTGTGTGTGCAGTCATTGAGTGCCAAATCATTTGTGCTTCATTTGTGTCACCAGTCATCACTAATGTTCAACAGTAGGAGATCACGTGATCACGATTTAGTCGATACTTCCCAATATTAGTGTGTTAGTTGGGCCAGTCCAACAAGTCTGATTTGTGTGGCTGTCATTGTGTTAAGAAAGTTCTGTGAATAGGCCTTTGTTCTTGATCTGTCACTGCGCTTTTTCTTAAAACTTCTCATAGACTTTCAGTCATTGTAAGTCAGCATTAAACACAGAAGAGTTACTTTATAGGATTTAAAAGGTTTGAGAAAGAGGCCTGAAGGGTCCATGAAATAATATCACAATAAGCTTCAAACCTCCACACTAATCATTGACACTGCTGAAAGTGTTCTTGAAGTTAGCAAGCTGTGAATTCCAAGTCATGAATGTAGCTTTAAAAAGTAGTTAAGAAAGGCATTCATTAAATATGATGTCCAATAAGTTGCTAGGATACAGTGATGGATACTGGACATTTGTCAGTTTGATGCTTGTTTTTGTTATTTGTTAATTACTTAATATTTTGTTGACTTCGTGCGTGCCAGTTGTTTTACTGCCTGCTTACTCATAACAGGCTTTTACCAAATGGCATGCAATTAATACTTTTAATACTTTTAATAAAATTATGAACGTAATATTTGAAAAATCAAAATTAGTGATTTGAAGTCATTGTTTATTTTAAAACCTGTAAAAATAATTGCATATTTTAATGGTTTGTTTCAGTGATCAGCCAAAAATATGCACCTTTATTTTGCTTAAACATAAACAGCTTTTAAAGCCTTTTATATATTAATACATTATGTATGATGTATAAAATATATCCTTGGATATAAAACTGCTTGCATTAAATCTGAAAAAACCCAAGTGTTTTGCATTTATTAACAGAAGCAATGATAAACACTTGACATAGATGTAAAAAGGAATATAGTTCCAATAACATCAGGAGCAGACGCTGTAGGAAATAGACAAATGTTTAACATGATGTGTAACATCTTGTTGACAGTTCCTTCACTTCTTCTACTGGGGACACTTGTAAAACAAGGTAACAGAACACTTTCAAGATGTGAACAATACAGTTGAGAATTGGCTTCATTTTTTTAATCATAAATGTAAAAACGTGTGCCAGAGGTACAGATTAGCTGCGTATCTGCGTAATTTACACAAATATTTATGTGAAAACTCAATTCCTATGAAGTCTTGTGTGTACAAGTATGCTAGAATTTTTGTAAATACTCAATAAATTTGATCTTACAAGTGTACACACAAAGATGCCAAATCTTAGCTTGTGTATCGGTGGTTAGATGAAATAACTGACGTATATTGTGAGGTTCTATTTCAACATATGAACTTGGCAACTTGCAGTCTTTCTTATCGTTTCTCATATTACATATCAAATATAAATAACAAACACGTAAACCAACATTTAAACTTTATTATGTTTTAACAGTTAATGGAAAATGGCAAAATACCCAATTGAGTTCAAGTAAGGTGGGTACAATATGTTTGGTTACTCAAAGGAAAATTAGGATACCCAACTGAAATGAACTCAAGCGAGTACATAACTCAATGACCCAAAAGTCGTCTGTAGCTCTGGTGTGCATACTGTGGAACATTGTTCAATGTAATGATAGAACACAAGCACCGCCCTCTGTATTGTCAATTAATCAGGGCACTATTTAGTGGGTGTGATGTAATTTCTTTATGGTTTTTGGAAGCACAGGAAACTTACTATTACTATGGATAGAATTATTTGCAATATATATTTAAGTGCAAGTAGAATACAGATAAAAGAGGAATATTAGTCCTAAATAAGGAACTTTGGGTGTAAACGATAGAAGCTAGTGATAAAATGAATATTTGTCATTTGGAAGGATCATTAAATGGAATGGTAAATGTGGTCATTAAATAGTTGTGACAAGTAAAAACTGTTAGCTATAAAGGAAAACATCGGTGATTAACAACAAAAATGGTAAACGATAGATGATTGATGTAAATGTGGAATGTAAACAAGCCTATGAGATTAAACGAGCATAAACAGGAGAAATGGTATTTAATGGAATAAAGATGAGCTCTGAGTTGATTCATATAAACATTGTTAATTTGTATAGCTATTTCTATAAGAATGTAAATAAACATGTTAGTTTTATCCAGTGTGATAGCTGTATGTATATGTGGCAACTGGAGTATCTGTTGACAAGACGCTGAATCAAAATACCCTCACTCAATTAAAGGGAAGTATCGACTTGACTGTGGTCACTGCACTGTAGAGCTGCAACGATGCAGAATGTCACGATATGATGCGTACACGTAATATGTACAAGCACAATTCTTACCATTATACCCACCACAGGACCATTTAATAAACCCTGAACAAAATTTTTGAATGTAGTTGTATGGTCGACTAATTGAAGACTTCCTAAACATGAGTTAATGTTTTCCTACATGTATAGTGAATCAACTTCATTTGAGAGTTTGAAAATATTTGGCATTCTGTCTCTGGGTCTTGGATCACTGTTGTGTCAAAGTACCCAGGTAATGGGGATGATATTTATCACTTCTTTTTGCTGGTCCAAAATGTAATATTAACAGGCTACCTTGTTATGGCTGGAATTTGACTGACACATTGTTATGCAACATTCACAGACATGAATGGAAAGTTTCAGAGATATATATGTGAATATTCTTATATATTGCAATAGGAACTTATTGGATTGTGAATCGGGTATCGTGACAAGCATCATCGTTCCAGCTCTATGATGCTGTGTGTAAAGATGTGTATATTGAAAAGGCTGTTGGGTTTTTAAAGTGATGAACTTATCAGTGCTAAATATAGATTTTTAAGAAATCACTTTAATCAGATTTTTTATTGAATTCATTCTTAGATCACTCCCATGTGGCAGAAAGGTGCTGTGTCTTAAACAAATGTAAAGAGGACATCTTCAGTCCCAAGTTTTCAGTTGAACGCCATCAAAGGGCTCCCAGTGAAGAACTGAAACTGTTATTTTGTTTCTACTGTTGCTTGTTGTGTGAACAAATTAGAACATTGACATCAGAGAGTCTTGTTGAAGGTGTGAAGCCATTGTGAGTAAAAGGACAACTTTTAACTTTTACATTGTTGAATCTGTGAAAAAACACCCGATTGTTATTGGATACAAATGTTAGAAATTCTTGTTACCATGGTGATTCATGTAAATCTTGTGCCATCTGAAATATTTTTTAAAGGAGAAAGTTGTTAGTTTATTGGTAATCTCCAGTTTTTGCTGAGTAAGCTGATTCTGTTAATTATCTCATATAATTATTTTGCAATCAGAAATACTACAGGAAGCTACCTAAAATAATGCAAAATGGCAATTGATATGATAGAAAATCAAATTGGTTGCCGATCTGATTCTTGAAACTTGTTTCCTTTTGGTTAAGAATGTTTTCTTTTGTTCAATTTTGTTTTTATTTGTTATGTTCAGAAAAAGAGTGAGTGTGGTTAAAAAATCAAAACTCAACATCTTTTTATTTAGAATGGTTTCACAATCAAATGCCAGACTTATATGTGTAGTTCACAATATGGCTGTATTTCATATAATAGTCCACGACCTATGCACTATGAAAGTAGACTGTGTTTCACTGCTGTGATGTTTGGAAGATTGTGTGCGATAAGATTACTGGGGTATGTGCTACTCACTGTGTAACTGGAAGGCACCACATTGTGAAATACGTGCAATGAGAGTCTTGATAATGATTTGTGCTTGGGCATTGAAGATGTTAATGTAATGGACATTATATGTTTTTTAAATGATTATTTCTTTAAAAAGGTTCATATTTTCCCAGAATAAACAATATGATAAAATTTCTTATTTGTGAATGCTTACAGTGTAATAATCTGTGGAATGTCAGTTCGTACAGCACCGTTCATTAAGTCATTTGATACTTCTTTTTGAACACAAAATACAATTATGAGCAGCCTGCTTGCAACATTAAACCATTGTCACTCCCTCTGAGTGTCAGCATTTACACCCCTTCCCCATGGCCCTAATACTCGCAGGAACTCTTGTGTCGGGTATACTAGCCACTGGAGCATATCATCTCGCCTGATCAGTATTCGTACATTTAACTCTGTATTGTGTGAGATGCTGGTACAAATCTTCCGTGTACCCTCCTGAAGACACAATTCAGAATCACTGGTTTCTGCAGTGAAATATTTGTATTCACTTAGCTATAAGTAAGGGGTTTTATGAGAGCTTGTTTCAGCATAGGCTTTCAGGTTTGATCTGGTAATACTATGTTTTAAATCTCTGGCAGTTGTCAAGGGTATTGTTTTAGAATAAGGTTCTGGGAAAGAGACAAGCTCCAAATTAACAGGTATTGGATGTATTTTAGCGGAACTTGTTATGTGTAAGTTAATTGTTTTGCCTCTGGTATTAAGCCAAGGGTCATTAGCATCAGCTAAGATTGACATTCAGTAGAATATATATATATGCATACTGTACATACATAAGTTGTATTTACAGTAAGTATAAAACATATTTCACACTTAATGGAAGGTATTTGCTCTCAAAAACAGTCAACTCTGATTATATCAGACTCAAAGGAACTTGCACAATGTGTATTGTAAGAAGTACATCTTCAACCCTTCACCTGGTGCCACGAACTGATCGTAACAAGAAGACTGTATGTTCAACTTGTAGATTACAGTCATCTTGGCTCTAAGATCTCTGTTGACCAATTCCTTGGTTCATTGTTGCTGTAAGTATAATGACAGTAGAGATAACGTGGCACCAGGAGAGAGGTTTTGATGGTAACATTCCCTCAGAATTTGGGCTTGTAAATGAGAATTACACACTCAAAACAAATGTTGAGGTAGTTCAGTTGAGAATTTATGTGTTCAGGAAGCATTGCTGAAATGTACGAGCAATTCTGGTACCCAGCATGCAACTGTGAGGAGATAATGATGAAACTACAAAGGGATGCGAGCTTGTAGTAACCAGTGCCAAACCCTTCACCTTTCGTTTGTATATATAGAAGACTGGCCCTGTACATATTACTTAAAGGGTTCAAAGTACACAGTGTTTTCGACAAACTACAATTGACATCGTAGCCGTCCAAACGTAGTTAACGTAGATCTTTGTACCTGTAGTTTTTATAAGATTTGTACGACTTTGTCAGTTTCTTGTCCTGAAGCTACAGATTGAGAAATGCGGTCAGTGTTTTTGAGTAAACAACAGATTTTAAAGTGACAAACAACTCATGGAAGGTAATTGCTTTTTAAATTCATGTGAAACAGTTATTGGGGGACTATGCTTCATTGGCTGTTGCCATTTTCATTTCTGATCTGGAAGTTTTTAAGAAACAACCTTACTATATTCATGGTTGAGAGGTGGCAAAACAATTCAATTCTCAAGTTATACACAAACCAAATCATTTAGTGGGTATCGTGTTCTGAAAATAACATGCACTCTAAAACAAATTCTTTGTCTTGACTTGTTTTGAAGTCTGTTGGGAAAATATTCTGGTTCCTTCGATAATCCTCGCCTTCCTGAATTTTCAAGGTTGGTGCCTTTGCGAAATGTTTGCAAAACTGAAACACTGACTCAGTCTATAGTTATTAATTGAAATAATATCAATATATATCATAAAACTAACAAAGTGTTTGAGCCACTTGAATCAAAACTTGACAATTTTCTTCAGCCTAGTCCCCCTTTAATGCTTACTACAAGGGAAAGGGATGTTAGCAAATAGGTCAAGAATGCTGAATCAAATGTGTATTTCAATATGGAGTATACAATCAGTAAGTATTACACTATACCACAGAAACTAATGTTAGTGAAATGTTTAACACAAATATAACAGAACTTCTTGAATATTCACCAGATAAGAAATATATAAGAAGGGCAATTATTCTGATATGAATATTACTAGTACAGAATCATAAAACAAAATATTCAGAATTACGTATGTCATTATATATCTCTGCCCAATATTGTTTATGAATATCACTTGAACAAATCTCACCCTTTCATTATACATTTTAACTATTTCAATGGTTTTACTTTCAATGATATAATACATTTAATCTTGGCCAAAAGAGAGGTTTTTAAAAGTGTTTTCATTTTATGCGACATCATCTTGTGGGGTAGGATGCACACAGCTCAGTAATTGTCTATATACAAGTTGTATGATTATATGGGTAAACCTATTCACTTCATTGTTAAGGAGTTGTATGAATGTTTTGTATGATAAAATACTAAGCCTGTTCGAGAAAACAGGGTAGGTACATGAAGAGATGCACCTGGAGTGATTGTTGTACTAGAGTATCAGGTTTACTTCATGAAAATTGTTTACAAGTTTCTTTCAAAGCTCTTTGATTTGAGCCTCAAGATTAAGAGACTTATCCTGAGGTCTGCTTGTAGAGTTGGTTGT